GGAGGATGATGATGATAAGCACCATTCCAACGAAAAAAACTATCATCATTATTGTTTGTATAAATAATAGCTGGACAAGTTGGTGCACGAACGATACATCTCCATCGGGTTGTTATTTCATTTTCTTGTTTAATTTGATATGAATAACCACACATATACAGCTCTCGACCACCTCGATTCGTCTTTCCATAAGTTATATTATCTTCATCAACAACTTGATAGCATTCATTGTTGTCAGATTCATTTAATTCAAATTTGGAATCTAAACTGCCATTGATGGATTCATCGACTATATAACATGTTTGTAAAAGATCTAAAATTCGATCATCTTCATCATTTGGTAACAAAAACATTGAGGTTTGTGATAAATTGGATGCACTAGAAGGAGAAAATTGATCCATACTAACATTAACAATCTACTAAAATAAATAAATACCAACTCATCTAAACATTACACACTTTCTTACTGATTGTTGAAGATGTAATCATAGACGTAATTTGAAGATCAGGAGTTGATGATTTTCATTTTTTTGAACGAAGACCATTAACTAATAACCACTTGTTGGAAATGACCTACAGTCCTGCAGAAAAAAAACTATAAATAGTAGACATAACAAAGAAACAACAATGAACGGATCGATCGAGGTCACAAAAGAAAGAAACTATTCGTTTAGATGTGACTAAATGTAATCACTATCTAAACAAACATTTCATTGAATACAAAAGATTTGATTTATCTTCAAATAAAATAGACGAAGAGATATATAGGCAGAAAGGAGAAAAACAAAGAAACAAATATCAGACATACATGTCGTCCATGACTATACGAGCATACAATGGCATCAGAGGTGATACTGAAGAACAGTATAGAACGAAAAGAAATGTAAATACTACAATCTTATATGACTCATTTAAGAATAAAAACAAACATAAGCTGAAACATCTGTATAAAAAATAAAATAATTATTGTAAAAGAAAATTAGAACCGATAATGGATTTTCCAAATTAATTCCGAGAAAAATAACATGTTCAGGAAAGATGTGATAAATCAATTGTACAACACAAATAAATCTTTTTCCAAAAAATCATCTCGAAGCGTGATTTGAAGGCATTCAAACGTGTTCCATAGAAGTTCATTGTTTGTTTAATCATATATAAGCCGATACATCACCCAACATCTTTGACAGTTACTTTCCCTTGCAAACAGTTGTTTCAATAACTTCACCGAAATTGATAATCAACTGTTCTTCTAGTATTATCATAACCAAAAAATTCCACAGCACCTTTTGTGTACTGATTCGTAATGACAACTGTCAAAAT